TAGGGCCAGGCCCCTGTGTACCCACCGAAGCTCGCCCACTAGGGGCCTCCTTGATCACCTGACGCCCTGCTGAGCAAGGTGCCTCTGTGGTTGTTTGCAAACACTCCTCTGCGGAGTCCTTTCTCCGGGAAATTCTCCTGTTCATCGTGGGGCCCCTGGCACCCAACTTGACCGAGCTAGAGAAGGTGCTCAACGGATTCTGGTGGGATGTATGTAGCAGACAAGACAGACCTGCCTGCGGAGCTTGAGCTGGGGGCTTGGGTTGCCATCAAGATGACTCGACTCATGGTGACCCCCCCCCCCCATGTGTCTGAGCAGATCTGTGCTCTTTAGGATCCTCAATGGCTGGGTTTTCAGACACTGCCTTTCTTCCAGGACACCTCTGGATGGATGTGAACCGCCAACCTTTTGGTTTGCAGCTGAGCACCTTAACCATTTGCCTTGGGTCTCTGGAGAGTAAAAGATCTTCTTGTTAAAAATCAAGGATGGGACATCTTTGGCGCTCAGGAGGGGACGGCACTTTTCCAAAGGCCATTTAAGGGCAAGGACCACCCACTCAGATGTGGATGGGCGGGAGCCCATAGGAGGCTGCTTGCTCTGTTCACTCACCTTCACCAGGCGGTGGGTCCTGCAGGAAAGGAAGTGTGGGTCCCGGGGGCTAGGAGGGAGACAGCGCTCACAGAGCACCTTGGAAACCATTCAGGCCTTCCCTTTCTACTCCCCCCCCCCACACCCCAGCCCCCTCCAGAGCTCAGGGCCAAGGCCCATGTCCCATGTCCCAGGCACACCTTCGTCCTCTGTACTTGGCGGCACAGTTAGGCTACTGTTTCCCGTGGTGATGGTGACAGGGCCTGGCCCTGGGTGGTGGCCAAGTCAGCTTGGGCAGATGAAGTGCTAGATCCCTGCAGAGGTTGCCGTTTGCCTCTGGGGAAGTGCTCCAGGTTGGATGGCCCTGGCATGGCTTGCTAACGAAGAGGTGCTGAGGCTCAGGAAGGGAGCCAGCCGGAGCCTGATAAAGATGCTTTGGCCTTGGGGTCCAGCAGCTGGGCTGCTTTGAGACCTCAACGTGGGGACCCAGCACTCCCCTGCTCTCCTCACTCCGCACCTCTGATCAGGCTGGCCGGCCAACCTGTGGGTGCCCTGCTTGGTAGGTTTGATGCCAATCCACTCACCCTTTCTAAATCTGATTACCACGACCTCCTCCTAACCTCCTCCACCTCTCCCTGCTCCGGACCTCAGCCGGCGACCGAGCACTAACCTGCTAATCCAGCGCTCACCAGCCCACCTGACTGTCCGGCTTCTAGGTCCCAGGGTGCTGGTGACTGACTTGAAGTCAGCAAGTCCCTTGGGATGCCTGTTCAGCTCCAGGCCGAGGCTTAGAGAAGGAAATAGAGGGAGAAGCACCCACGCCCTGCCTTGGCCCATACCCGGGGAGCTGACTGAACTGAAATCCTAGCTCCACCGTTGACTGGCTGGGTGAGTTCAGGCAAGGCTCTCTGGCTTTCCAAGAGCTGAGGGCATGCTTGTAAAATGGGACGAATTAGCATCGCACCTGCTGTGTTGGACTGCTATGCGGATACAATGAGATGGTGCACGCAAATACAGTGATGAATTGTAAGCACCCAGCAAACAGCAGCTGCCGTATAAATACTGCCGTATAAATAATTGTTGTTGGGTGTCATGCTGGGAGCTAAGGACACAAAGAAGTGCAAGGGACACGTCACAATACTTTGAGGTATTGATCAATTTGTTGGGGATTGGGACATACACACACACACACACACCCTATGTCACTTCACACCTCCTAGATGGCTACTATTAAAAATAAAGCAAAACAAAAGTCCAATAATGGAAAATAACAAATGTGGGTGAGAATGTGGAGAAGTTCGAACCCTGGCCCAGGCTGGTGGGGATGAAAACTTGTGTGGCCACGGTGGGAATAGTACAACATTTTCTTTTCTTCTTATTTTTTTTTTTACAAATAAGTATATAATTGTTATTGTGTTTAAACTGTAAGTTTACATAGCAGAGTAGGTTCCCATGTCATAATTGAGTCATTGTTTCAGTTTTCACACTGTCAGCATTCTCAGTGCCCCGTTTCCATTCGTCTGGCTTCCCCTCAGCTCCTTGCCCTTTTCTTTTTTCAATCGCTTTATTGGGGCGCTTACAGCTCTTATCCCAATCCCCACATCCGTTGTGTCAAGCACATGTGTACATACGTTGCCATCATCATTTCCAAAACATTTTCTTTCTGCTTGAGCCCTGGATATCAGCTCCTCTTTTGTCCCCTCCTCCACCCTCCCACTCTTATGAACCCTTGATAATTTTGTTTGTTTTGAACCCTTGATAATTTATAAGCTATTTTTATTTTCATGTTTTACACTGTCCGCTATCTCCCTTCACCCACGTTTCTGTTGTTTGCTCCCTGCCCACAGGGGTGGGAGACTGTAGGTTGATTATTTCAATTGGTCCTTTGCTAATAAGTTAAACATTGACCTGTCTATGCCCCAACAAACCAACAATTCCACTCCTGGCCATCTGCCCGTCGCACTGAAAACAAGGACTGACGGAGCGTCTGCTAGGACACCAGTGTTCACGCTGCACTAGTCCTAAGAACCAAGAGGCGGACACAGTCCAGGCGTCCATCAACAGACGAACGGAGTTTGTGTAAACAAATATGGTTTGTACACATCACGGGCAATTACTCTGCCGTTGAGAGAAGTGAAGTTTCGATACCTGCTGGAACACGGATGAAGCTTGGAAACATCATGCCGATTGAAAGAAGCCAGACACAAAAGGCCGCGTAGTGCATGGTCCTACGTCCATGAAATAGCTGCTGTTGCAGGCGTCGCCAGGCGCCGTCGGTTGGTTCTGACACAGAGCAACACATTACCAGGCCCTGGGCAGCCTCACTGTGGTTCCTATGTCCGAGCCCACGGTTACAGCCCCCATGTCCATCCTCTTGTCTTGAAGTACCAGAGCAGGCAAATGCCTGGAGGCAGAGTGGACTAGCAGTTACCAGGGGTGGAAGGGAGGGGCGAGCGATTGTTCACTAGTAGAACAGAGTTGCTGTTGGAGGTGATGAAAAGCTTTGGACATAGATGGTGGTGACGGTTGCAAAACCAAACCAAACACTGCCCCCACCCCCTCTACCTGACAGGTAGCACTGGGCAGGAGTGGTGTAGGCGGTAGGTGTTATGCAGAGGCGGGGCCTCTGAAATGGGCAAGTGGAGAGGAACAGGGACAGCGTCTGTCCCGGGAGGGGACCCAGCACACTCAAGACAGAGGGGAAGGAAGGGAGAGGCTCTCTGGAACCAGAGCCAGGAGGGCGGTCTGTCTGGGGCAGGCTCACTGAGGAGCGTTGTCAGGGGGGCCGTCCGACTGGAGCGAAGCTTCTGTGCTGGTCCATGGACTGGAATCCTGAAGGCGGAGGGTTTCTGAGCGGGAAGGGCCCTGGGCCCAGGGGAATGCTGGAGAGATCTATCCAGGCCGGCCCTTCGGTTTGCATCTTGGTCTGTGCTCAGACAGGGCAGCTCAGCTCCTGAGACCCAGGCCACTTGGTCTGGGTAGCGGTGCCTGGTAGTCTCACAGTTGACTTCGGCATAAAATCCAAGCCCCCGACTGGGACGGCAGAGGTCTTTGTGATCTGACTTGGGCGTCCCTCCTGCCCTCGCATGACTCCTCCCTTCTGTCACCCGGCCCTGGCCTCCCTAGGTAGGCATCTTGACCGTGCAAGTTCCTCCAGTCTCCAGAGCTGGGCACTTGTCCATCCCTCTGCCGGGAAGACCCCATCTTCTTTCTCCTCTCCACTTCCTTTCTCGCCACCCACATGTTGCCCTTCAGCGAAGCCTGGTCTGGCCCCCTGCTAAAGCTCCTGCCTCAGCTACAGCGCTCTGTTTACTTGTCTTTGCTGCCCTGGGTACTCCTGGAACGTGTGCCATGTGGTTTCCTGGGTCCTTGTTGCTCTCCCCCACTCAACTCTAACCACCATGCTGAGCACATAGTAGGACTCCACAAATATTTGTGGAATGCGTGAACAGAGATGGGCGAAACACTTGGGTGTAGAGGACCACACACAACCCAGGCGGAGTGAAGTTGGACTCATACTGGATCCTTTACCACCACCATCACTACCCCCAACATGTGCATCTACGTCTGTGCCTTGGCCCGTTGGCCACTGGGTGTGGCGGGTGACTTCGTAAGTTGATGAAGGGTAGTGGGGAGAGACGTCTTGGTCTGCGTAGCTGGCGGCTCCTGATGAGTGAGGGGTTAGAGGAAGGGGGCAAATCCACTGCATCTTGGCCCCAGGCTGGGCCCAGGGCACCCCTCGCTAAGTGGGGTGGGAGGTGGAGAGCAGTCACGTTCTCTGGCCCAGCTCAGAAGAGGAGAGACGCTCATGATGAAAACGCCTCTCAGAGACCCCTAGAGTCCACGCAGCCCCCTTCAGCCCACCTTTGTGTGATTCATGCAGAAACGGAGACTTAGTGAGTTCAGGTTGATAGCTCGAGATGCCACAATTCACGAGGGCCAGAAAGTCACCAGGGACAGACACGGATCAACGCCCAGTGTCGAGCCTTTTCTCCCTTCCCTCTCCCCCTCCCTCCTCCTGTTCGTCCGTCCAGCCTCCCTTTAACATTGATTGAGAATGTCTCCTCTAAGTTCTGGGCCTCTAGGATGGAACGACACAAAGTGGCTGCCCTCAGGGAGCTCCCAGAGGCTCCAGCGAGACAAAGCCTGTCGTAGAATGTCAGGAGGGACCCTGGCAGGGTGTCTACCCCAAGGGGTGGTACGAGCTGAGGGTGCCTCTCTGACCAGTGAGTGTTTGGATACCACAGCCAAGCTGATCCCTGACCTGTGGGTGGAGGGGAGAGAAGCTGACCGAGGAGCACTTTGTCCTCAGCTCTGAGCAGAGGGCCTTTCTGTCGGGAGGAGGTCAGGGCAGGGCGGGCCCTCTGGCTCCTGCCTGTCTTGTGTTGTCACCCCTCTGCCTGTCTCCTCAGCCGTGTGCCAGCCGCCGTGCCAGAACAGGGGCTCCTGCAGCCGACCCCAGCTCTGCGTCTGCCGCTCAGGCTTCCGTGGAGCCCGCTGTGAGGAAGTCATCCCTGAGGAGGAGTTCGATCCCCACAACCCCCGGCCAGCACCCCGACGCTCTGCGGAGGGCTCCTCGCCCCTACGCAGGAGCAGTTCCACCAGAGAAGGCACCGCGGCCAGGGCACAGCCCCTGGCGCCACAGCTGTCCCTGGCCAGGTAAGTCTCCTCCCCATGGGGTCCAGGCTCGTTCTCTAGGGCAGCGGTTCTCAACCTGTGGGTCTCAACCCCTTTAGGGGTTGAACGACCCTTTCACAGGGGTCTTCCAATTCATAACAGTAGCAAAATGACAGTGATGAAGTAGCAACGAAAATAATTTTATGGTTGGGGTGTCACCACATGAGGAACTGTCTTAACGGGTGTCAGCATTAGGGAGGTTGAGAACCACTGTTCTAAGGGCTTCTTCCTAGGGGCTCTGAACCCTCAGCATTGACCGAAGACTTCCCTCCCCACCCCTCACCTGCTCCTGCCTGAGGGGTCAGCAGGACAGCAGGGGAGGGGTGGCACAGGCTCAGCCAAGCTGGGGTGGAGAGGGAAGGTGAAGGGTTTACTCCTGAGCACCTGGGAGAAGGCTGAGGAGGGCACGTCTGAGCTCAGAGTCTCCTGTTTCGAAGGTTGGCTTTGCCACTTCCTCGGTTGGTGGCCTTGGGCACATCTGTCTCCCAAGCCGTGCTCCCATTCCACAGCAGTGAGGTGAGGCGGGGCGAGCTGGAAGGCCCAAATCCGTTAACATAAGGATGCTTAGCACAGTGGCTGGCACACAGAAGCTCAGTGGGCACGTCGCTTCTTCATCTGCTCTGCCCGTGGCCTCTGTAACAAGGTGTGGGGGTGGGGTGGGGGCAGGCAGTGATCCTGTGAGTGTTCACCTGCTGCCACCTCTCTCCTTGGAAAAGCACCAAAGAAGGAACGGGTAGAACAGAAAGCAGGCTGGGAGAGTACTTATGGGCAAAATTCCCTGGCCTCTTGGCAGCCAATCTGGCTAGACTTATTCGACTCGGGACAGGAAATCTGAATTCTGTAAACGGGGCCACTTCTAGAGGCTGTGTTTTCCTATGGGGTTTTCCGTTTGTTTTTTCCATTCATTTCCTGCTGGAGAAGCATTTTCTGAAATTTTGCAACCTGTCTCACCGATCCCAGGGGCTAAAAGCTGGACCCACGAGGCCAGGAGCGCCAGAAAAAGGCAGCTGGCCTTGAGGTCAGGTCCCCATCGGGTGAGCTTGGGGGAGACGGGCTGAGTTGGAGACAGACCAGGAAAAGGAAGATGAGGAAGATGCGCTCCTCTGAAGGAGTAGGCAGAATGTTGGTAAGGGGGGGGCGGGGGGACTTGCAAGACCCGAAACACCCAAGCAGGTCACTGAGCGCAGCTAACAGCAGGAAGAGCAGAAGATGGGCCGAGCTCACTGCATAGGGACCCCCACAACGAAACCCAGAAGATCCAGCCCCTGTGACCAAAGTCTAGGGATGTTGGGGACAAAACCGCAAGGATGGGAGACACAAGGGTGGTCCAGGATTGGCTGGGAGCAGGTGGGCAGGGCCTGAGCCGGCGTCGGATTACCCAGTACATTTACTGGTACTTGTATACTAATTGGTAGTGAACAATATCCGTTTTCACCACATCAGAGGTTCTGCTTCTAGTTTGGGCTAGCGTGGGCCTCTTCCCATGCTCCGTAGCTAAGGTGACCAGATTTGAACATTGGTAAAGCAGGACACCATTGATAAAACTCCTATCCTGGCGAAATAGCCACATGGAAACTGAAAACCGTATACCCTAGCTTGTCGTGCAGTCCTTCCAAAAAGCGGGACTTTTTTAAAAACGCCGCGGGACGCGGGACAAATTGTTAAAAATCTGGACTGCCCCGCCAAAAGCGGGACGTCTGGTCACCTTATCCACAGCACCCTGTGATAGAACCAAAGGCTCGTTTCCAATTTCCGATCCCAGACAGGGATGGGGGACACAGGAAGCCAGGCAGCACAGGCCAGCGACTTGAGTTTGCTAAGTAATCTGTGATGAGCAGTCTCACATGCTTTTTACCATGTGAAATTGTTCACTCCGGGTTCTTCAGAAAGCACGTCAGCTCGCGCTTCCCTGGCTTATTGAGTAATCTGGCTTATTTTGGAGGGTCCCACCTGCTGTCCCTCCTCCGGCAGCTCTGTAATCAGACCCCTACAGACAGACACGTGATGCCTGTCCTGCACCTGTACTTAGGCCCTGGGTGGTGCTCTGTGCCCTCGGAGGCAGGGGTTCTAGCTTAGACTCTTTGGACAACCCCCCCACTTTTTCTCTCCCTCCTAGCCCCCCAGTGTTCCTCAGTGCCCGCCCAGCTCATAAGGAAGTCCTGGGTTCATATGCCCTGTCTGGTGCTTGGTCCATCCCAGCCCAGAATGCATGGGCCGTGCCGAGGGTAGAGGCGGGGCAGCTCCCTGCCGATCTGCAAGAGCAGGGGCCTGGTCCTCCCTGTCCCTTTATCCCTGCTACTAACCCTCTGCCCCGTCCACATCGTTCAATGAAGAAACAAAGGAGGGTAGGTGCTGAGGGGGAGAAGGCGGCGTTGAGGAAGGAGGATGGAGGCGAGGCCCTCAGCAGGCCTCTCTGCTTCGGTGCCACAGCCTCCCTGGCCAGGGGCTACTGTGATGTTCTTAATGAGCTGCAGCCTCCAGCCCAGCCCTTTTTCCCTCTGCCCAGGGGCCTCGGTGCCATGACATCTGGGGAAGTCCGAGAGGGCCCCGCTGCTGGCTCAGCTGTGTTTTGCTTTGGGAAGCCAAGTCCCACTTGCCCGGCAGTGTCAGACATTTCCTGTGCGCGCCGCCAGGTTTCCCAAGCAACGCCTGGCCTCTCTCCTGATAGCAACTTGGAAAGGCCCTTTGTGTCCAGCTAGAGGGAGGGCCATGAAGCAGAGGGCAGTGGGCGGGGATGGGGCAGTCTATCGGGGAGGGGAGACACTGCAGGATTGGGGATGTTCAGGGGCCAAGAGATGTGTGTCTCAAAGGGAGATGGAGGGGGAGGAGCCAGCAGAGTCCCCAGCAACAGAGGCCAACGGTGTTGACAAGGTCTAGCTGTGGCTTGGGCTGGTGGCAGGGCCAGGGACACTGGCTGAGCCCCAGGCCCAGGTGTTGTATTGGGCCCTTTGGGAGTTGGGCTAGAAGGAGGCGGTAAGAAGAACCTGGGACCAGCAGATTTTGGGATATCGCCGTGCGGACCAGGGCCTTTTTTATGCCAGTGGACGCGTGAGGCTCTGGGATCTTGCTAGCGTGGAACCTGTGATTCGGTAGATCTGCTGCGAGTATCTCTAATGCGATGCAATGCTGCTACTGCTGCTGCTGATCTGTACGTAGCCCTGACCTTGAGTAGTGAGAGTTAGCACCTGGCCTTTGAGGCAGAGAATCCTCGCTTCTCTCTCTGGGTTTACCACTGACCAGCTGTGTGGCATTCGGCCAGGGTCTCAACCTCTCGGAGCCAGCCATCTCCACTTGATGGGACGCAGGGAAAATTAAGTGAGAGCCTGTGAGGAAGCACTTAGTCCGGGGCTCGGCATCAGCTGCCCTCACAGGGCTGGCTCTCTTGGTCCAGAGGACTCGGGCAGAGGGGAGGCAGCGGGTGGCCAGGAGAGAGAAGACGGAAGGGTGTGTGTAGAGCGGGGACATGCGTGTTCTGGGAAGTTGGAGCTGGTCCCAGAGGAAGCGCGATGGGCACATTCCAGACCAGTTGTGGCTTTTTGTCTGGCCTGGGGCATGGTTATTCCTTCAGGACCGTTCTCACCAGCTGTGGGTAGGAAGAACTGATGAGAGGGCTGGCTCCTTAGA